AAATCTGTATGTGCTGCTATTGTGCTACAGTTCACTTGAATGTTTGTACATTATACTTAAAAAATAATAAAATAAAATTGATATAAACTTTAATGAAGCAAACTTAAATAGTTAAATGAATCATTCAGAACGAAATTCGAGGTAAATGGAGTTCCCTGGACAAACAATGGGAATGAGTTTTTTGTCATTAGGCGTGCACATTCACAGCTCATTTATATTACTGGAGGTGCTGCTACTCTCTTTTTGAAAAAAAAAGAGTCACTAAATGGGTCTTAAAACTCGCCAAATAGAGAGAAATTCGCTACGTTGGCAACCAAGTGAATTGTCTTTCACAATACCAGCATAATTCCTATTCCATAATTCCTTTAAAACTGAAACACATTTCTGAGGGACTTCATTCATACCTGCGGGGACTTTTTAACATTTCCACTTTGTTTTAATTTAAATTAATGTAGTCTGACTAAATGTTTTGTATTGTATACAGTACACTATAATTGTATGGTTTTAAGTGCATTCAAAACTTTTTTTTCCTGCTCATTTCAGCTAAGTTGAAAAAGGAAACAAATCTTATTCACTCCACTTAATGTTTTTTTTTTAAAAAACAACAAAACAAGTCTTGTTTAAATCAAACTTGACATGCTCAAAAATTACCCAAACTTTAAAAAATTATCTTAATGTTACCCTGTCTCCTAGAATTTATACTTATATAGCACTCATTTGCCAGTTACAAGTAATTGCCACTTGTATTATGTTTACTAGCAACCTCTCATTTTTTTCACGACACACAAGTCAATGAAATTAAATATGTATATCAAATATACTACAATGGCATATGTTTCCTCGTTATGTTGGTGAAAACAGCAACTTTTCTCTTGAAATATTGTTGCTGTGTAAATTAGGAGTATATGAACATTAATTGTAAGAAGACAGGGTTGCAAATTCCAGAATAATACACATTTGAAGGATTACATCAGAAGAAGAATAGTTGCGTTAGTCAGTATTACACTTTGATAATGAAATGTGTAATCATATAAGATAGGTCACCTTATTTGCTCCCCAGTAAATGCAACAAAGCCCAGGAATCAACCTCTGTTCACTCCTCTTTCAGAAACAAAAGAACAGATGTGCAGCCAGTCTACTCTGTCTGTAAAGCACACTTGCATTAAACATATGAATGACTGGTCTGAAAAAACACTAGTTATTGAGCCAATGTGCCTTTTATTGCGCCCTTCATTAAAAATCCCCCCATGTTTAATTAGAACACATCCGCCACACTTGAGATACGTCTGTCACTGGCTGAGGCCCAAGGTATTCAAGCTTGGCAGGATTGGCTGTGCTCTACTGCACACTGAAACACATGAAAGGGATGATGAGAGCTGTTTTAGGAGCATGTTGAAAATAAAGTTACAGCCATGTAAATGTAATGTCAGAGATCTATGCTTCCGTCATCATAGGTACTGTAGAAATGTGTAGAAACTGTTGCTGTTCGTAAGTCTTCTCTTTTTCACTCAGTGTTATTTAGTGTAATTTTTTCCAGTTTATTTATGAACTTTATCATGTAATATAAGCCAAAACAAACAATACATGCTAGCATTTATTCCATGTAATTTGACTCAACACTTAAGTGACCCACAACCAATGTGTACTACTACTACTCACCGTCTAAGTCAAAATATGTGCAGCTGTTTGTTCATGCCACTTTTGTTTTTTTTCCACATATGCCCACCATGTTTTACATGTCAAAAAACAAATCACAAAAGTGTATGTGTTTTGTTTTTTTTCTCTCTGGAAAAGCAGAGAAGTTATAGAAACACTTAGCTTCACCTACTTCCAAAGTGCATGGGGAAGAGAAAAGGGATGTTCTGGCTGATGTCATGGAGTTCTAGAAGTTAAAATTAATCCTGACGGTGTTATGAATGAAATTATGGCACTCTAACAGTTGTTTAGACATTTTACAAAAAACAAAAATGTTTGTGGGTGCTACAGGAAAGGTCAGGCAATCATTAAAGTCAGTAGGACACAACCCCTGGGGACCATGAATGTATGTACAGCTGTTTTAAGACATTCATTTCATTTTTTACTAACTGGTATGTGATGATTAAATGCAATAGTAGAATTACACAGCACATCACTTGGCAGATGGTCAAGTGTTCCTTTTTTCCGCCATTCTCTATTTCTGGCTTTTGTCGTAAAAAATGTCTAACTAATATGTAAAATTTGAATAACGCTAAGATCACCATCCATATAAGGTACCTTCATTAATAACTGAGGGCACCTGCCTAACATTGTCAGTCCAGCTACCCACGTACACTGTAAACCCGGATAAGTT